CAAATGCTCTCTGTGGGCTGTCGCCGAGGAGCTGCTGAGAAAGAGAAAACTCTCATCTGAATGTTCCGCCTACTCCTCTGTGCCCTGTATGACAATTTCTCAGTTACAAAAAAACCCTGTTTCGACACTAACAGTCGAAGAGGGTGAGAACAATGATGTAATGCTTACAGTCACGGACCAAAATATGGTATTTAAGTGAGAAACAAATAAAAATCCAGCTCTGTTGGGGAGCCACCACACTGAGGACTGAAGATTAAAGAACTAGGAATGGAAGTGCTATAGGGAAAAAGGAAAAGAATCGAGGTTACTCCGAAGACAGTAGCGGGGGAGCCCATCGGCTGAATCCTTCTGCCTGTCTATTTGGGGTAAAGATGGGAAAGATGATGGCCGGGATCCTCGACACGTGGATATTTACACACTTGAAGATACTAACTCACAAGTCTATAGAAACGTGCAATGTTGAAACCAGAAAGAAATCACAGGAGATGTTTAGCCGAGCCCATTTATTTTACATACAAGAAACTGAGAATCCTCAAGTTTAAGTGAAAGGTGCAGGCCTCCTTCCCATCTAACCAATGGCAGAGAGAGGACACTTGGTGTGGTGACTGCCACCAACTATCAGCTGGGCAGCTCTGAGGATGGAGGTGCTCACCCCGACACTGTGCTGCATGGAACCCCGAGTTTCCAAGAGTTCATCATAATCCCAAGCCCCACATCAACTTCTAGAAGTGCAGTGATCCCTGAATTAACACCAATCCTCTAACTCACTGAAAAAATACACTGAGATGTTGACCAACTGTTCTCTATCTCCTTTTAGAGAAGAACAAGATGAAACATGCTTAAACTATTTTAGGCAAGTTAAGGCTGAGCTAGACCAAAGATGTCTAGCGAGGCTTTGCAGGCAACACTGCAACTAAGTTCCGGAAGGAAATGAACGATTCCTTCCCTGACAGCCTCAGGAACGTAACAGCCCAAAGAAAGCACCAGTGTGCACTTCTGCTTCCAGACAGAACAACCCATCAGCCGTAAATGTTCCTTCTTATTTCTGAGTGACATCCATCATGGAATAGTGTGGCTGTGGCTGTGCACTCCACCCAAAATATTGCTAGGTGATGAACTATGACTGAACAAGGCTCAATAAAAAACATTCTCAATGGCGGGAGTGGTGGCTCACGCCTGTAATCCCAGAACTTTGGGAAGCCGAAGTGGGCGGATCACGAGGTCAAGAGATTGAGACCATTCTGGCCAACATGGTGAAACCCTGTCTCTACTAAAAATACAAAAATAAGCTGGGCGTGGTGGCGCGCTTCTGTAGTCCCAGCTACTCGGGAGGCTGAGCCAGGAGAATTGCTTGAACCCAGAGGGCGGAGACTGCAGTGAGCCCAGATCGTGCCACTGCACTCCAGCCTAGTGCCTGGCAACAGAGAGAGACTCTGTCTCAAACAAACAAACAAACAAACAAACAAACAAACAAACCAAAACACACACACAAAAACATTCTCAACTAGCCCCAGTGGCAAACATCTGTAATCTCAGCACTTTGGGAGGCTGAGGCAGGAGAATCACTTGAGCCCAGGGGTTTGAGACCAGCCTAAACAACAAAGTCAGACCCTGTATCTACAAAAGTTTTAAAAATTAGCCAGGTGTGGTGGTGTGCACCTGTAGTCCCAGCTGTGCAAGAGGCTGAGGTGAGAGGATCACCTGAGACCAGAGGGAGGTGGGGTCGAGGCTGCAGTGAGCTATGATCACACCACTGCACTCCAGCCTGGGGGACAGAGCGAGACCCTGTCTCTTAAAAAAAGAAAAGATAAAGATAGAAAACAGGCTGTCCTCCACCAGTGTATCATCTCCTGTCTCGCCAATTACATGATTGATATGGATGTTTTCTGTGACTTACTACTGACGTTTACTGATTCAGATATTTTAATTAATGCAGCTGAGCATGCAATATACATAATTTTAATAATGTCCTCAGCTGACTTTTATCTCTTGTTGCCGACACCAAGGGGAATGTTACTGGTCAATACCATACTGGAAACCATCACGGTATCCCGAAGAGCCACTTTCTACCAGATGGCCCATCTGGTGATCACCAAGTACAATTGTGCCAGTCCTCTCTCCAAGCCCCGGGAGTCTGTTCACTTCTCCCAGATCCTCCAAGCAGCAGCCTGCGACTCTGGGCCTCTGCTTCGCCTGCCTGCTCTGCACCTGCCACTCTCTTTACTTTTGCTTAAGTCTTACCTGTCCTCCAAATCTACATCCTCCAGAAGTTTTCCCCTGGTCATTCCAACCCTTGATGATCCCTCTCATTCCTGTATTTTTTAGAGATGGGGTTTCACTCTGTTGCCCAGGCTGGAGTATGGTGGTATGCTCATAGTTCACTGCCACCTCAAACTCCTGGGCTCAAGTGATCCTCCTGCCTCAGCCTCCCAAATAGCTGGAACTAGAGGTGTGTGGCACCCCACCAAGCTATTTTTTTTTTTTTTTTTTGAGATGGAGTCTCACTCTGTCACTCAGGCTGGAGTGCAGTGGTGTGATCTTGGCTTACTGCAACCTCTGCCTCCTGGATTCAAGCAATTCTCTGCCTCAGCCTCCCAAGTAGGTGGGATTACAGGTGCCCACCACCATGCCCGGCTAAATTTTTTTGTATTTTTAGTAGAGATGGGGTTTCACCATCTTGCCCAGGTTGGTCTTGAACTCCTGACCGCATGATCCACCCGCCTCGGCCTCCCAAATTGCTGGGATTACAGGTGTGAGCCATTGTGCCCAGCCTAATTTATTTTTAAAGAGACAGTGGTCTCACTACATTGCCCAGGCTGGTCTCGGACTCCTGGGCTCAAGTGTTCCTCTCACTCTGGCCTCCCCAAGATGCTGGGATTACAGGCATGAGCCACTGTGCGCAGCCTTCGTACCTGTATTGTAATGTTGCTCCTGAAATACACTGCCTCACATGAATCTGCATGGCCCATGAGCCACAATCTACTGGAGAACATGCTGGCGTTAGCAGAGCCGGCCCTATGAGCCGCCCACAACTCAGTGATGTCAATGGGGATGCCCTGCACCTCTTGGTATCAGTGAAGTGATGCGGCGCCTCCACAGGTCACGGTCCTTGTAAAGGGCGCGTACAATCCAGGCCGCCACCACACGTAAAAGGGTGAAGTTCAAAGTGCTTACCGTCCTGCTGCCTTCTCCTAAGGCACCCTGTGCAATGGGATACTTCGAAAAAGAGCACCATTTTGGGTTTCTTCATTATTAGAGAGCTCATTTAAATGGAAGCAATAGCTTCATGTCGGCAGAATTAACAATGCAGCTCCCAATAGTCATTTAGATAGGGCACAGTGGCTCATGCCTGTAATCCCAGCACTTCGGGAGGCGAAGGTGGGCGGATCACTGAGGTTAGGAGTTCGAGACCAGCCTGGCAAACACGGCGAAACCCCATCTCTACGAAAAATACAAAAATTAGCCAGGTGTGGTGGCACGTGCCTGTAATCCCAGCTACTCAGGAGGCTGAGGCAGGAGAATCACTTGAACCTGGGAGGCAGAGGTTGCAGTGAGCCAAGATCACACCAGTGTACTCCAGCCTGGGCAACAAGAGCAACACTCCATCTCAGAAAACAACAACAACAACAACAACAACAACAATAATAAAACGGTGATTCACAAATTGAAGCCAACACTTCTACCTTTCAAAAGTCTGAACTCAAGCTATAAACTTATAGATTGCCCTGAGGGGAATGGAAGCTTTTCCTCCTCTACATTCACACATTTCTTTCTAAATACAAAGACACCATGCTAGGCTGGGAAGAGACAGCAACCCTCTGCCCATGGCTTGGGCCCAGGGGACAGTGTGGTCCCTGAATCAGAAGTGGTGGCTCTCTCTCCCTCCTCCCTCACAGCTGCCGAGAAGGGCTGGACTCTGCCCTGTTCCAATGGAAAACTTGACAGCAGGGATGAAGCTGCAATTTCTGTGCTCAAGATCCAAAATGGTGTTCCCAGGGCCTCGCAGGGAGAATCCACAGCTGGGGAAGGAGGTGGGTGGCCATCATGCTGGTGCACTCGTACCAACACCCGTTTCGCCTTCTTCCTGTCACTCCTCTAACTGCCGGACTGCATACACTTAACAGTCCAACTGGAGCTGGGCGTAGCGGCTCACACCCGTAACCCCAGCACTTTGGGAGGCCAAGGCGGGTGGATCACCTGAGGTCAGGAGTTTGAGACCAGCCTGACCAACATGGAGAAACCACGTCTCTACTAAAAATACTAAATTAGGCCTGGCGTGGTGGCTTATGCCTGTAATCCCAGCTACCTGGGGGGCTGAGGCATAAGAATTGCTTGAACCCAGGAGGAGGAGGTTGCAGTGAGCCAAGGCTGCACTTTGGATGCTTAGTACAAAGAACTAGGGGTTGTGATTTCAGGAAAAACAGGAATGCCTGGCATCGCATCGCAGTACAGATCAGGGCTGACTCACGGATGAGAGTGACTCGGTCAAGGTCTGAACCGGGTTCCTCCATCAGTGTTTCTATCTCAACATTTGGAATGTTTGCTTGTGTCTGCACCTTATCGCTCTCAGTGTGTCACTGTCAATCACTCAGAAACAGATGCATGCAGCATCTCCGGAAATGGAATCTGGGATTCATCCAAATTAACTCCCAGCCTCCAGTCAGGCCCAGAACCAAATCAAATGGGATTTCTACCCAACTGTGCAAAAGTTTTCAGGGGAAATCACTTCCCCACTATGAATACCTGATTCCAGTGTCCCTCAATCTTTTTATTCTTTCCCCCAAGGGAATTGAAGGCAGCTGGGATCACATGTCAAGCTCAAATGCTTCGGATGACTGAGTTGACACGTGGTGACGACACCACACACGCACAGGCACGCGTCTGCACATGCACCGTCCTTACCCACCTAGCCCGGAGGTCCACAGGCAGTGGACATCACACACCCACAGGCACGCGCGTGCTCACACACAGGCACGCGCATGCACATGCACCGTCCTTACCAACATAGCCCGGAGTTCCACAGGCAGTGGACATCACATCTCCTTTGCCCTCCATTTTTGACAATCCAAAGTCACTGATCATTATTTTGGACTCCTCATCTTGACTGTAGTACAAGAGATTTTCGGGCTACAAAGAAAATAAGAAAAAAAAAATTACCAACCACATGTAAAGCTGAGTTAATTGTGGAAGACTCACTCAACGGCAAAACCTACTCATGATGTCCGGATGTCTTGGACCTTTGGATACAGTAGATGCATCAGCTAAAGCAGCAGCCAACAGAAACGATGCAGAGAGCCCAGCACAGTGTCTGGCACAGACAGGCCTTCAATCAATGTCAGTCCCTTTCCTTTACTAATATCTTGTCTGCTTCAAAAAACACAACAGGCCACGCCCAGTGGTTCACACCTGTAATCCTAGCACTTTGGGAGGCCGAGGCAGGTGGATCACCTGAGGTTGGCAGTTCAAGACCAGCCTGACCAACAAGGAGAAACCCCGTCTCTACTAAAAATACAGAAATTAGCCAGGCATGGTGGTGCATGCTTGTAATCCCAGCTACTTGGGAGGCTGAGGCAGGAGAATTGCTTGAACCTGGGTGGTGAAGGAAGGAGAATTGCTTGAACCCGGGAGGCAGAGGTTGTGGTGAGCTGAGATCGTGCCATTACACTCCAGCCTGGGTGACAAGAGTGAAACTCCATCTCAAGAAACAAAACAAATAAAACACACCATATTCTGAGGCCACCTAGAAAGCTGACTGCCTTGCAGACTTGTGGACTCAGGTCTGGGGTTAGGAAGGAGACTCCCGGAAATGAAGTAACTGCAGGTGCTTCTCTACTCCTTCTCACGAGTGATTTTTTCTGGAATCCAAGGGTCTCTGTTTCTGCCCTCAGTAACGTCCCCTGGTGCCCTGGAGTTCTGGGACATATGCTACATCTGAGCCCCTCACTAAGGCCAGCCAGCTCCTGCTCGCTCCCCTGCCAGGGAAGAGGAGGGATGTCCTCCCGGAATAAATGAATCTGGAATTTGGAAGACACAGCACTTTCCAGCCGTGTATCCTTAAGGGTTCTACACTTCTGTTGGCCTTTCTGTGAAGTGTGGGTTGATTTCACCTCTTGTCTGTTACTCTCAACAGTGCGCAGGCAGCAGGTATGCGCACCAGAGGCCTTCCTCCATTTCTTACGGTCCTTGTGTCCCTGTCTTCACTACAGTTCTGCAACACACAGGAGGGGCTGGGAGTGGAGGCTCGGGGGTTGGCAGGGGAGCCAGTGAAGGATCCTTTGTGTAGTGTTTTATGAAGAATTGGGGAATCTCATTGCTCCTAGCAAGGAAGCAGGTGGGGCTTATGCAGGCTGGAAAGCTACAGCCTTGGAGCTAGTCCCTGCACTACTGGCTGCACGCTGAACACAGAGGCGCCTGCTTCTTCTTCTTTTTTTTTTTTTTATAGAGCTGTTGTACTTGATGACTCCTGGATTCATCATCATGGTGATGATTTATCACTGGGGGAGACAACGTCAAGGACTGTCATCTCTGCTGTTGTCCAGGAATGTCCACCCCCCAGATAATCCACAGCCAGTGAATAAGGAATCGTTTCTGTCATTTATACCAAATTAATGGGAGCACAGCAGGAAGAATCTGACTTGGGAAAGGCATCTGCCCACAGAACTGCCCATGCGGCTCTCCCACCAACCCCAGGGGGAGACACCTTCCCTCTGTCAGCGGTTTGTGGTGAATTTTGGGTCGGACTTGAGTAACTATTCTTATGTAGAGTGTGAAAAGAAAATAAATCTCAGGACCCCAAAATTACTAAACCAGAGGGAAAAGTCAAGCTGGGAACTATGCAAACCTGCTTCCGTCTTACTCCTAAATAGCATAGCTACAAAGACAGACAAAAAGCCACAATCCTCCCTCGTGATTCACCAAAAAGGAAATTTCTTGTGGGCAAAGGACAGACAAAACTCAAAAGTCTGGCTGGGTGCGGCTCATGTCTGTAATCTCAGCACTTTGGGAGATTGAGGTGGGTGGATCACCTGAGGTTAAGAGTTCGAGACCAGTCTGGCTAACATGGTGAAAATCCATCTCTACTAAAAGTACAAAAATTAGCTGGGTGTGGTTGTGCATACCTGTAATTCCAACTACTAGGGAGGCTGAGGCAGGAGAATTTATTGAACCTAGGAGGCGGAGGTTGCAATGAGCCAAGATCGCACTATTGCACTGCACTCTAGCCTGGCTGATGCAAGTGAAACTCCAAAAAAAAAAAAAAAAAAAAAAAAAGAAGTTAGATGTCCTCCCTCTGCTAATGGAGACAAATGTACCAGATTGCTTCCTCTGCCCTGTTGTTTCACTGAGCCAGACTATGGCATGAGTGACAATTCCTGTAAATTCTGTATTCAGTGAAGGGCTAGTCAGAGATTGAAAAGCATGCAGCTGTTTGTCTCTTATCTATCTAAGACCTTGAAGCCTCTGCTTTGAGTTGTCCCACCTCCTCAGACCAAGCCAAGGCGCACCTTACACGTATTGATTGATGTCGCATGTCTCCCTACAATGTATAAAACCGAGCTGTGACCAACCACGCTGGGCGCATTGTCATCAGGACCTCTTGAGGCTGTGCCGCAGGGGCATCCTCAACCTTGACAAAATAAACTTTCTAAATTGACTGAGACCTGGCCGGGCATGGTGGCTCACGCCTGTAATCCTAGCACTTTGGGTGGCTAAGGTGGGTGGATCACCTGAGGTCAGGAGTTCGAGACCAGCCTAGCCAACATTGTGAAACCCTGTCTCTACTAAAAATACAAAATTACCCAGGTGTGGTGGTGGGTACCTGTAATCCCAGCTACTCAAGAGGCTGAGGCAGGAGAATCGTTTGAGCCTGGGAGGTGCAGGTTGCAGTGAGCTGAGATGGCGCCACTGCACTCCAGCCTGGGCAAAAAGAGAGAAACTCCATCTCAAAACTAAAAAAAAAAATAAATTGACTGAGACCTGTCTCAGAAGTTTTGGGTTCACAGAGTGACTTGACTTGTTTAGAAAAGTGGTTCTCGGCCTGTTGCGTGGCAGAGTCGCCTGTGAGCGTGCTCACTGACCGGGTATCTTGTCCTTCAATGGGTCTGAGATGGGGCCGAGGGCTGTGGATTTCAGAGCTCCACAGGCGGGATTCTGATAGGTCACTATCGCAGTGAAGACATTTTCAGAACTAACCAAGAGTCTCTCCTTGACTGAACTTGAGGCAGGCTCCTCCGAGTCCCCTGCTCTCCTCGGCTTGACCTTGGCCTTGTCTATCCTGCCTCTGCTAGGCCTGAGCGGCCCCGGCTTAGCAAGAGTCGGCTACGTCAGAAAATCCCGCCACCACTGGTATCTGATCAAGTTCTTCATCCACCCCACCCCGCTGACAGGACTCCTGCTGAAGGCAGGCCGAGGCGATTGAGGTGACACAGGAACTAGAAAGAAATGATTTCAGCAGATAGTGAGGGTAAAAGAATCCTCGGTCAGGCTTCCCTTCTAACAAAAAGCAGCCCAAGACATTATTTTTTTTTTTTTTCTAACAAAGAACAGCCTGAAAAGTCAAGCTGCAAACATAAGTAAGCAAGCTGGAAGCTTTCATGGGTGAACGCTGGCAGCTGTGCCAACAGGAAAGGCCACCGGGGGCCAGGCGTGTTCAACATGGCCGCTCCATCTTCCCTTTTCTTTGTCAGCCACGTGTATGGTACAGAAACAGGCATCATGTGGCTGGCCAGGCAAAGAACCCATCGGTGTAATAAAAGATTGGGATGGGGGCAGCCAGCTTTTCATGCTCGATGCAAATGGCACACCTGGTCCACCCAATCTTTCATTCCCTATGTAAATCAGACACCACCTCCTCAAGCTCAGCTACTAAACCCCCTGCATTTTACCGCAGACTACAACCCCACTTGGGACCCCTCTCTCTGCAGGAGAGCTCTGCTTTCTTTTGCCAAGTAAATCTCTGCTCTAAACCTCACTCGTGTGTCTGCATCATTAACTTCCCTGGCATGAGACAACAAACCTCGGGTATCGCCCCAGGCGACAAGGCCACTTGAGGGATGGCGGTTAATAGTCACTGTGACATTAATTCTGTGGATGAAGCAGGAGACTAGAAGAAAATCAACTGTCTGCTGAACAATGGTTCCAATGAGTTTGTTGTTGTTGTTTGAGATGGAGTCTCACTCTGTCGCCCAGGCTGGAGTGCAGTGGCACAATCTCGGCTCACGGCAACCTCCGCGTCCTGGATTCAAACGATTCTCCTGCCTCAGCCTCCCGAGTAGCTAGGATTATAGGCGTGTGCCATCACACCCGGCTAATTTTGTATTTTTCATAGAGACACGGTTTCACCCTGTTGGCCAGGCTGGTCTCGTACTCCTGACCTCAGGAGATCCATCCACCTCGGCCTCCCAAAGTGTTGGGATTACAGGCATAAGCCACCACTCCTGGCCCCACTGAGTTTTAAAAGAAAGTAAAGTGGCCAATCCGTGGAAACAAGAACACTGTCACGCTTAGAAAATGGGCGGGAATGCTCGCATCATCAAGTCCGTGTGGTTCATGCTTTCTCTGGATGTTTAGGGATTATCCTTTGCTGAACAGTAAGGATCCAATCATGGGAGCTGAGAGAGGACAAAGTTGTTTCTGATTTTTTATCTTCCTTGTCCCAGGACTTCTGCAGCTGCAGAGGTGGTGAGGGGTGGAGAGCACGTGACTTCACCCTGCTAAACAAGGCATAATCCCGGCAAGGGGTGGCCAGAGCATCCCACACATCCCTCCTAGAAAAGGTCCATTTGGGTCAATAAAATGCTCTTTTGAAGACCAATTATGCCCAAGAGGGTTAAATTAACTGGTCATTCACAGTTTAGATCAATACTCTTAATTGGCCCAAAACTTAGTAAAGACAGCAGGGCTTTTCCTGGGGGATGGGAGTGGGGGAGGAGGGAAGATGGTGGGGGAGAGGCAGGCTCAGGGAGGCCCCAATCTCCAGCAGGAGGGCCGTGGGGTTGGGTGGCCTACATTGCATCACAATTCCTCCTGATGTTCAAAGAGGTCTGGAACCCACCGGAAAAATTAGGTTTTCTGCATAATCATAGCATCTTTGCAAGACAACTGGTGGCCAATACCTGAGTCAGAATATCAACCCCAACCCTTTACAATAATCCACATAATAAACTCTAAAAAGATCTATAAAGACACATGCACACGTAGGTTTACTGCAGCACTGCTTCACAATAGCAAAGACTTGGAACCAACCCGAACGTCCATCAATGATAGACTGGATATAGAAAATGTGGCACAGACACACTCTGGAATACTCTGCAGCCATAAAAAAGGATGAGTTCATGTCCTTTGCAGGGATATGGATGAAGCTGGAAACCATCATTCTCAGCAAACTGACACAAGAACAGAAAACCAAACACCGCATGTTCTCACTTATAAGTGGGTGTTGAACAATGAGAACACACAGACACAGGGAGGAGAGCACCACACACTGGGGTCTGTCGGGAGGTGGGGAAGAGCACTAGGAAAAATACTAATGTAGATGACGGGTTGATGGGTGCAGCAAACCACCATGGCACGTGTATACCTAAGTAACGAACCTGCACGTTCTGCGCATGTATCCCAGAACTTAAAGTATAATAATAATAATAATAATAATAAAACTAAAAAAAAAAAGATCGTAATCAACAGACTTCTGGTAACATTCATGTTATCCACCATCACATTCCTAATCCAGTGATTCTCAACCAGGGGCAATTTTGCCCCCCAGGGGATGGGTATCTGGCAATGCCTAGGGGCATCTGCAGCTGCTACAACTCTAGACGTGGTACTGGTATCCGGATGCTGCTGTAAATCCCACAGTGCCCAGGGCAGAATGCCAATGGCGGAGGGGCTGAGAAACCCGTCCTAACCACCGAGGCAGGAGCTGGCACTTCCAGTCTCAGTCACTTCATTTTGCAAAAAGAACAACTGATTGTCTCTAGTAGCTTCCTGGGGCAACAGGCCATCGCATGGCTTTCTACAGAGAGGAGGGGGTGTAACTGCAGGAGGGCTGGGGCAGGAATCCCATTGTTGCACTAAGCTTACGTTAACCTGATCAAACTCTCTATTGCTCGGGCTCGGTTGTTTTCATTTTAACTTTCTTAGCTGTCTATGCAAATTTAATAGTCCAATTTCAACTTCCTCCTCATAGATCAAACTCCTCTGTGCCTCCGAAAAGAGATCACAAAAAGGTCCTAAAATGGCAATGTTCTTTACATAATGACAGGCCCGGTGATCTTAAGGTTCCCCAGGATGGAAGCTGCAAGCAGTTCTCCAAAAGCATGACGTGTGCTAATTAAAACCGGTACCTCCCATACAGCCAATCAGCATTTCTAAGGCAGACATAAACACTGCCCCTCCTGGATACGGCTTAACTGGTTAGAAACTATTTTTCTAATAAGTCAGACACTAGCCCATCGCACCACATCCCTGTGGTCACCATGCTAATGTGTTCAGAGAGAGCTGCCTGTGGTATTCTGGAAGCACAGAATTGGCATTTGTGGGAGCACAAGAGAGTAGAGAAGGCCCTGAGGCCTGGCACAGAGGTGCCAGGTCGGCTGAGCTACCCCTACCCAGCACCTCCAGGCCCTGAACAGGTATTTTCTGCGGAGCATGAAAGTCGAAAGGGATCCACTGAGATTCCCAAAGATCCTCATCCAGTGGTTTTCCAAGAGCAGCTCCCAGACTGGCATCCTCATCTCTGTAGCCCTGTTAGAAAGGCAAGCTCTCAGACCACCCTAGAGACCTACAGAACCACACTGCTGGAGGAGGAGCAGTAGTCTCTATTTTCACAGCCCTCTAGACAATTCTGAGTGGGCGAGCATTCAGGAACCACTGCCTGGGTAAATGGAACATGACGACATGAAGAAAAATCACGGTGGTAAGTTTTTTTTTTGTTTTGTTTTTTGTTTGTTTGTTTGTTTTCCTGAAACAGAGTCTGGTTCTGCTGCCCAGGCTGGAGTATAGCGGTGCAATCTCAGCTCACTGCAACCTCCGCCTCCTGGGTTTGAGCAATTCTGCCTCAGCCTCCCAGGTAGCTGGGATTACTAGGCAGCTAATTTTGGTATTTTTAGTACAGATGGGGTTTCACTATCTTGGCCAGGCTGGTCTTAAACTCCTGACCTCATGATCCACCTGCCTCGGCCTCCCAAAATGCTGCTATTACAGGCATGAGCCACCGTGCCCAGCCAGCCCTGAGTCTTTATGAAAGAAGAAGCTACAGCACTTTATTCCTTGATACCAAGTAGCAGGTGTGGAAACTGTTTATACGAAGGTTTATGACTGGTTCTTTAAATTGATTTTGATTTCCCACAGTTGTGTACAGCATAGCTTCAAGAGAATATGATCCTCGTGCCTATAATGAGTGGTGGGTACACGTGCTGGGGTGGAATTTTTGTCTTGACTGGTGCCGTAAGCTCTGGGGGCTGGACCTGTCCACATCCTAGAATGAAGTCCACATTGCAGCTTTGGGGCAACCTGCACTGCTTTCTACTGTTTCTCAAGTCGATATGTCTGATACCCACCTTGGGTACCGTGAGTGTGATATCCACCCTTCAGTACTGTACGTTTGACATCTGTCCTTCAGTGTCTACACAGACCTGGGAGGGAGGGGCCTATACGCCCATATACGGCCCAGATCCTTCTGTGCCAATGGGTGAAGGCTTTCCAAAGCCTCATTAGGAAACTGTAAGAAAGGAACCTGCAGGATATTGGGAGGCGGCTGCCATCGCAGCTCTTTTAACCTGTCTTTTCCCCTTCTATTTCTCTTCTCCCTCTTCTGTCTGTTTCCCTTCTGTTTCCCTTTGCTTTCCTCTCACAGTGTCTGACCGCTGCTGCTCTCTGTCTTTTACACAGTGTGTTGTGCTGAAATGGGGCTGGAATTGGCAGAGGTACTGCAGAGCCGCACAGGGAGAAGGGTTTCTGCAGCCTACATGTCTTGAGCAAAACGATCTCTTAGAAGGGCTTGAAGCAATATACGACCCACCTCCCTGCAACCCTTTGGCTACATAATGGGTGTAAAAGCTCATGAACAGAGGCCAGCCATGTGAATCTTCATCTTCTTCCAAGATACTTGTGGGTCTGGATCCCAAAGGCCCTGACAACTGAAAAGACACAAGTGCCACCATCCAGTCACACGCACTCTACATCAGAGCAGCCATGCCCCCACCGGCATCAGCCCTCTTGGACAGGTGCACGGTGGGCTGCAGAGTGGCTGCAGGACGCTGCTGAGTGATGGCCTCACCTTGAGGTCTCTGTGGACGATGCCCATTCTGTGGAGATAGTACACAGCGTCCAGGACTTGGCGTATCAGAGTGCTGGCATCCTTCTCCGTATAAAACCCCTTCTCCACTATCCGGTCAAATAGCTCTCCACCGGACACCCTGGCAAGAAAGAACACATTAGGAGTTTGAGAGAATCCGTTGAATTGTTCAGGGAAAGCTTCCAATGTGATAAAAGGCCCAAACTTTATTTCAAAAATGAATCCAGTCTCAGGTTTAAATGTTGACCCCCATTCCTCAGAAGCTATACCCAGGAAATGTGTCCATGCCATAGCAGCGCAAATGACTGGACCAAGGTAAAGGAAGTTTGAAAAACCAGGACCCACGGCCCAGCCTGGGTCTCTCCAGGCCTCTGCCTCTGTTCTGCTCTGATAATGTAAAGTTTTTTTAAAAAAACCCTTCCTGAATAGCAGCATCCTCCGATACAGGGAGACGACACTGGATAAGACGTCTCCTTTTCATAAGACAGTATCCTTAAATGACCGACAGTGTTGTGGGCAAAGCGCTGGTCTGCCAACAGGATGTTTGACCAAGTTCTGCTCCTAACATACTGAGTTATGAACACTCCCTGAATCCCTGGACCTTGATCTTTTTATGTGTAAATGAGGGGATGAATCTAGTCAACCATTTCCAACAGTGCGTAGGAACATGCCCTTGGAATGATCAGAACCTCAAAGCCACTTGTGATTTATGAAAAAGGCAAAAAGTCAACACTATATTTCATTGCTTTGCTTTGGTTTGAGTGATGCTGTATCCTTTTTATTTGCTTTGCATTTCAGATTGTATTTAACATTTTATGACATTTTTAAAAATGGGATTAGGTTGGCAAGGGCCAAGACGCCTTGCGGGGTAGGGGGCAGCCTCTCTGGCACCTTTCGGCTCTGATATTTGACGCCACTCTGAGTTCAACAAAATAACGGAAGTGTAAGAGCCAGAATACAAACAGCTCAACCACGGCCCTCCAACTCATCTCAGATCATTAAGCCTTCTTGGAAATAAATTTGAAGGGATTTATTAACACTACTGAAAAACAAGAGAAACATGTTCCAAAAACAGGATGAGACAGATTTGAAATACTAAAATCAAAAAGCAGCTTAAAAACAACTCTTAAAGCTTTCACAGATAAAGCAAAAGACAAGCCCTACAGTAACACACACTCATACACACAGAGAAAGGATTCATTTTCTGCAAGTCATGGCAATTTACATGCAATAACTGATCCACTGAAACCTTCTTTTAAAAAAACAAAGAACGCAACGCTGCAGCTGTAAAAGGCCTGCATGCTAGTCTCTGCCATTACCTGCAGTCGTGGCAAGCAATATTGTGCTTGGATAAGATTTCATTTCCAAGGCAAACTGATAATCTAGATAAGAAAGAAAGGTGCTCAGGAGAAATAAAAAAGCAATTCAAAGAGTGAAAGAAATGGAAGCGACTGGGAGAAACTACATTTTAACGACCGCGTTGTCTAAATGATCCAAGCTTAGGTAAGCCAAGAGCCCAGGATGTCCCTCCTGACACCAACTTCCCTCCAGCCGTCATTTTTCAAGAACCTTCCTCTAACAAGTTTCAACATCTGAAACTCTTCAGAGCTTGAGGACGTACCACAGAGGCAGACTGCTGTTAGGGACAAGGAGAGTCTGTATGCCCTGGAAGCATTCACTTCTCATTTTTGAGACAGGGTCTCATTCTGCAGCCCAGGCTGGAATGCAGTGGGATGGTCACAGCTCTCTGCAGCCTTGACCTACAGGGCTTAAACGATCTTCCCACCCACCTCAGCTTCCCGAGTAACTGGGACCACAGGCATGCGCCATCGTGCCCGGCTAAATTTTGTATTTTTAGTAGAGACAGAGTTTCATCATGTGGCAGGCTGGTCCCAAACTCCTGGGCTGAAAGGATCCTCCTGCCTCGGCCTCCCAAAGTGCAGGGATTACAGGTGTGAGCCACTGCACTCGGCCTGCATTTACTTAATTATTTATTCAATCACTTACTCAACATTCCCTGGGTGTCCATTACATGGCAGCGAGCATGCCCGGAAGGCAATCGAGGTAGCTTTTGCTGTAACAGAGGGGCGTCCGTTTAGACTGTGCCCTTCCATGTCCTCTAGCAGAGGTCCCCTGTCAGTAGTGATCTCCCTAACTGGTGTTTCCAGGGCCTGCTTCCCACCATTCTGCCTGCTACCGCCTCCTCTCCTCTGCAGCTGCTGGAAGACCTCTGGCCAGAACGCTCACCCCTTCCACTGCTCCTACCACCTCCTGCCCTTAGGACGCCGTGATCCACACCTTGCATGACCCTCTGCCTCCCTCAAATCCTACCTGTCCTTCTTCTCCTTCTGCCAAGATCCTCTCATTCCTCACACTATATGATATATAAGGTATGGACGAATTCTACTGAATGAAAAGATCTGCATAAAGTATTTCCTGTCTAACGGCAATGCGATAGGGCAGCAACGCAGTGAAACTCAAGCATCTAAGTGTAGCGTGGACTGTTGCAGAGTCTCAATGCCCTGCACATTTACCATTCTGCTTCTTACATTTCAAATTGCAACTGTTTCCGAACATTTCATGGAAAGAACTTGGTTTCCTTAGAAACCGAGGCACAAGGGGAAAGTTCAGAAACTTGCCAATAAGGAAATATGACAAAGATATTGTCATATATTTTTATAACTAAATATATCTTAAATCTGCAAATCTCTTTGTACGTTTCAAAATTCTCCTTAAGCCTGCATTTCAAAAACCTATGGTACTGTTATGAACTGAATGTTTACATCCCCAGAATTTATATGCTGAAGACTTAATCCCCAATGTGATGATGGTGTTTGGAGGTGGGGGTCTTTAGGAGGTGATTAGGTTTAGATGAAGTCAAGAGGGTGCAGCTGGGAGCGGTGGCTCATACTTTGGGAGACAGAGGAGGTGGATCATCTGAGGTCAGGAGTTCAAGACCAGCCTGGCCAACATGGTGAAACCCCGTCTCTACAAAAATACAAAAATTAGCTGGGCTTGATGGCGTGTGCCTGTAATCCCAGCTACTCAGGAGGATGAAGCAGGAGAATTGCTTGAACCAGGGAGGCAGATGTTGTAGTGAGCCAAGATTGTGCCATTGCACTCTGGCCTGGGCAACAGAGTGAAAATCTGTCTTAAAAAAAAAAAAAAAAAAAAAAAAAAAAAAGAAGGTGAGGTCCCCATGGTGGGATCAGTGTCTCTGTAAGAGGAAGGAGACCAGAACGCTCTCTTTACCATGAGGACACAAGGAGAAGGCAGCTGCCTCCCAGGCAGGAATGGAACCCTCACTATAATCTTTCCAGGCTAGCACCCCCAGACTTCCAGCCTCCAGGACGGTGAGAATATACATTTCTGCTGTTTAATCCAGTCTACATGGTATTTTGTTGCAGCAGCCAGCACTGACTCATTCATAAAACCAGTTGTAAGGTAGACAGGGCTACTACCACTGTCCCAGAATCACTGCTGAGGAAGGAAGTCTGGCATCGTGGCGAGCTGCACATCCCAATTTCAGGCTCGCAGATCGTGCTTAGGTTGGCTACTTGGCTGCTGAGGTGACCGACCGGGAGATTTTTTTTTGTGTCAGTCACCTTCTATGCCAAGCCTCTTGTGTGCATGTCTGAAAGCTTCACATCAGAAATGAAATTCCCCAATTAAAACATGCAGAGCATCGGAACGAAGTTAGAAGGGAAAGGGGTCAGGTGAGCGGGGAAAAGGAGTAGAACCATAACAATATATCAATAAACAAAACGAATAAATGAGGACAGCACGTTGGCTCATGCCTGCGATCCAAGCACTTTGGGAGGTCAGGGCGATGAGGCTGCAGTGAGCTGTGATCGCACCACGGCACCCCAGTCTGGGTGAAAGACCAAGACCCTGTCTCCAAAAAAAAAAAAAAAAAAAGTGAATTAATGGTATAATAGCTATGAGGAGAGAGGCTCAGCTTCGTAGAATGCGTATCTAGAAAGGTAAACAGACTAGCAAAGATTAAGGAAGCAGAAGACAGACAGACGATAAAACAATTCTCTGCTCTTCTGAATTCCAGCAGAGGTTTGTTTAGAACAACCTGCTCTGCATTCAGCTTGGGTTTGTTCAGTTCCTAATCTTCCTTGCCTAAGACACTATACTGCTATTGTACTGTGTGTGAATTTTAAATATGCAAATATGAAATAGTTTGATATAATAATCTCAGTAAAATTTCAGCATGTTTGCCAAATTTTACATGATGCAAATCCTTTCCAATTAAGAAGGAATTGTCAAGAAATGTAACATCATTTTGAAGTTGCTGGACCGAGTAAACTAAACGCTAATGATACAGTGGTACATTGCAATGCACTCTAATCGAGTTAGTATGCAATGACTTATTAGTCCTTGGTCAACCATGCTGCTATTTACAGGCATTCAAACCTTCTCTGTCTGATTCTGGTAGATATCTTGTTATCTTAAAATTTACTGCTAATTGTAATTTCAAGTATTTTATGTCTTAGAACAGTATCAACCACACATTCATTAAAAGGGAGCACTTCTGTCAATGCTGGAAGCAGGCTCCAACAATCCATTCTGCTCCAGAATGGAAGCTAGATGTAATAAAGTAATATGAAGAGGGCCAAACAGTACAATGCTGTGAGAGCCCTCCGAGAGATACCAGCCACGATGCTAAGATGATACAAAGAAGTGGTGGCACAGCAGATACTTGAAATTCACCTTTGAAATTCACAAAGGCTGCCCCATGCCAAGGCTGGGGGAGTGGACAAGACACAAGGAGCATGCTGAAATGGGCCCCGGAGCAAGGCTGGTTATAAATGTGTTTTCTAAGCACCATTTCTCTTCTTTATATTTAGTCCTAAGGGGAAGATACTTTTGAAATCTGTAGGCGGTGATGAAGAGAGGCTGCAAACAAAGCATTTTTCAACTGAGAAATCCCAAGGTCTGGAAGGCAGATATCTACCTTTTTAACCTGGCTTGGAGAAAGTTAGTTCCCATCATCTCCATCTTTTCCTCAAGCAAGATCTACCTTGGCAGAACCTGAGATTTTCCTCTTCCCACAAAGGGCAGCTGCCCGTCACCCCACCCTGGTGCCTAGAATCCCCGTTGCTGCATTAGGTT